CTACTTTTGTGGGGATTGCAGTTTGACCACAGCTACCCAAGAGGGGAAAGTGGGATTCCTACAGAATATGCGCAGCTCCTCCAGGGCCTTCACGGTCTCTGTTTCTCCTTGTTCCCGGTATTCGTCTTCTGTCAGATAACGAGTCTCCAAGTTTTCTGGGTGGAAATACTGAGCAGCTTTTCTAAACCAAGGGGGGGGGGAGAAGGGGAGGGAGGTACTTTAAAGATTATAGTATGGATTTGAAACCCAAAGGGTATGGAATACATTTTTAAAAAGAATTATCTAGAATCCGACAGGCAGACTATTATTCTTGACTACCTCATACTAAATGGAAAATCCATACCAAGTTAAAATAATCAAAGAATTACATTCAAGGTAATTTGAGTTTATTAGCTATGTTGTTTGCTCCTAAGTAAATTCCAGTGACCCTTCTTTCTGAGCAGACATAGAGAGGACTGTGTTGTAACCCTTCGCAATGGGGAAAGGTAAGAAGTCACCTTCTAACCTTGCCACCTTGGAGATCAGATCTCCTTCTTAAGGCTTCTCCAAGCACAGCCAAACTTGAGTTCTTGACGAGGTGTCAATTTTGTACCCAAACAGTTCTGCAACCCTTTAATGAGATTCCAAGTACAACTGAGTATGAATAGAATTCAAAATGCTAAAAGAAAGTTCCCCCTCCCCAGATTCCTGAGTTTATTGCTAAAAGCTCTAACAACAGATATCATTGTATAATTTAATGAGTGAACTGCTCTCCCCCTTGAAAGCACCTATATTTAGACACACGTTGAATTATCTGGCAAATAAAGCAGAACATCCTAGCACAGTGATGGTGAAACTTTTAGAGACCGAGTGCCCAAACTGCAACCCAAAACCCACTTATTTATCGCAAAGGGCCAGGGCTGCATCAGCATTGTGATGGACTCAGGGGGGATGTGGGGCGTGGCCCATTGGGTGGGTGTGGCTGCAGTGGTCATGGCAGACTGGGTGAACGTGGCTGGGGCCAGTCCCTCGTCATCTCTGGGGCATCCCCGGGGGGCAACGTCGCTTGCTCGCTTATTTCCTGCCCTGTCACTTCCAAACACCATGTGCTCGCTACTCTGGCAAACTCTGCTGGGGCAATGGCATGCATGCCCACAGAGAGGGCTCTGAGTGCCGCCTCTGGCACGCGTGCCACAGGTTTGCCACCACTGTCCTAGCATATGTTTTCATCCAAAAGAGTGATTAAAAGTAAGTCTATTTGCATGCGGTGTCTACAATAGCCCTGATGCTAAAAAGTGCTGAAGAAAGTGTAATCATAGCTCAAATACTAGGGCACAACCATGTGTCAGAAAAATCCCTAATAATGCTACTACTTCTGAAATGACATACCCACAATATAGAGTAAGAATACTCTATACTGAATATGGCCCCAGATAACTGTTAGGCTCCCTAGAATAATTGCTTCTAAGGAAGTGCAGTGAATGACAAAACAGAAGCTTGGATTTCATATAATGCTGAGACAGGTTTCATGTAACTCAGACTGCATCTCTTAGTGCATCACAACTAATCAGGCAAAGAGAAACTACGGTTACATATTCTGATTTGTTTTAATCTTTAGGGCTGGTCCCAGAATCCTAGTTTTTTCCTTGAGTTTTGTGTTGCTCTCTAGACCCTTTGCCAATTTACCAAGGCACTAAAGCAAATGTCTAAACAGACTCTGTTTCTCAAACCAACCCATGCTTTCTTGAGGGAATGGCAACAACCGAATCAGGAAATTGTTTTGCTTATCCTCAAAGAATGATTCATGCTTCCTTAACTAAGCATCGGCAACATAAATCCTGCTTTGCTACAAACACAGCCAGTTTATTTGTAGATTTGTATAATCCAATTCTCAAATAATATAATTCAATAGGACAATAACTTTTAGAAAAAGTACACCAATGCCAAAAATTACATCCTCAAGGACAAGTTGTTCTCTCTCAGTGTGATGCTACTCAGTTTGAGCTGGAAGGCCCATGGCCTTGCACTGAATGACTTTACAGCTGAGTGGGGACAGAAGCAAACAACTTCCGGGACATTCTGGCACTGTGCGAGCTCAGACAGAAAGCAGAACATAGGGGGCAAACAAATTTAATAAATAAACAACACGGTTTTCATTGACAGAATAAAATTGCCTGAAATGTCTGATTACATTATACAGTTGCTACAACAAGAATATCATTTTGATTTAATAAGGGAAAGATTACTGACTTGCCAATATAGCAGGATGCTCGAAGGGGATAATGCAGGAGTTTTGTACAGAGCATAGCAGTTATGACTGCATAGGCAACCCAGGGGATTGCAATGCCAAAATAAATTAAGATCAGGCCTTTCAGCTGCAACATCCACATCAAGAGGTTCATACTTTGCTGGCTGCCGAGTGGCCCGTGCTTCTTGCAAATAGCAAAAGAGATCAATCCAACTGATAAAATATACCCTGAAAAAAAAAACACCAAGCCATGAAATAAATAGTAGATAAAAAAGTGATAGGTTTACTTGCAACTAACCGTTCACTTGAGGCTAAATTGTGATAAGTAACATTTGCTTCTGGGAGGGATATTTAAGTAAAATAGAAGTCAATTCTTTCCACTCCTGATTTTTTTTTCTATGTTAGTGGGATGCTTTTTATGGCATAAGAGCAGCTTAGAGTTATACCACATATGCCCATCTGAAGGACACAGGCTGATTATTCTGGAAATGTATCTGCCCAGCATTTTATGGGAAGATTAACTTTTATTAATACTAATAAATGGTAGAATATGCTCATTTTCCAATTGCATCATTTAAAATAATACTCATGGAAAGATGATTTTTTTAAAAAACTTTCTGATCAAGATTCCAGTAAAAAAAGAGCAATATTGTATATACATTCATAAATATGTATGGATATTTACTGAGGTAAATCTCATAATACAGGTAGTCCTCAATTTACAACTGGTTGCTTAATGACCAAAGTTACAATGAACCTCCCCATAGTTGCGTACAACCCATTTTGAAGTTACAACAGTTGCACCCCTTCTCCTTGGTCAGATTTTGTGCACCTGGTAACCAGCTCACCTTCACGCCATTTGCAGTGTCCCACACATTCATGTGACCATGATTTGCTACTTTTTTGCTGGTTCCCAGTGTTAACCTCTGGTTTCTGGCAGAAAATGTCAAAAAAATCAGATTCGGTCACATGATGCCTCAACTTACGACTGCAACTACTTAAAACCATAATCTGGGGCTCAATTACAGTAGTAAGGTGAGGATCATCTGTATTTGCTAATGAGGATTTTAAAGCAGGAGTTTACATGACTACAGCTATGTAGCAAAGGTTGAACAAGCATATCTTTTACTCAGTTATTTAGTTCACACATAAAGTCAATCTAGCATGTGGATGTGTGAATCTACCCCGATTGTTTAGCATTATGAGCCAGCATTATAAAAATAATAATAAATCCTGGTTTAGTGCTAGGAACAAACACAACCAGCAATGACTAAATACTAAGTGATGATTTATCATATATATATTAAAGGACACTACATAAAGAATGTTTGTATCACTTCACATAATTTCAGATGCTCTTGAAGCCTCTGGACAGCATATTTGGCAGATAGAGATCTCTATCTGAAGTGTCATCTTTCCCATCAGGGAACAGACATCTTTTTTACATCCAAACGAATACAAGTCTGCTGTATCCCAGAGCCAGGAGGGAGGGGAACAATAAAATCTCAGTTTTGGAAGGTTTTCAGAATAGTCTTTCTGTCATTCAAATATAACTAAGATTCACCAGTTATGCAACCAAGACTACTTGTAAGTATACAGGTAGTCCTTGAGTTACAACCACAGCTTAAAATTTCCATTGCTAAGCAAGGCAGTGAATTTTGCCCCATTTTATAACCTTTTTGTCGCAATTGTTAAGTGAATAATTGCAGTTATTAAGTGAATCATGCAGCCAAGCTTCCCCCATTGACTTTGCTTGTCAGAAGCCAGCTGGGAAAGTTACAAATGGTGATCACATGACTCCAGGATAGTGCAACTGTCATAAATACATGCCAGTTGCCAAATGTCCAAATTTTGATCACGTGACTATGGGGATGCTGCAACAGTCTGAAGTGTGAAAACTGGTCATCAGTTACTTTTTTCAGTGACGTAACTTTGAATGGTCATTAAAGTAATGGTTGTAACTTGAGGATTACCTGCAATAGGTATGTCTAGTGAGAATATAGTTAGTCTGAGTCTGCAACTTTTGGGAGATAATGCACTTTATTTGACAAGCTTTCCATTTTAGGACTGAAGAGAATTGTAACTGCCAAAGAAGCTCATTTTCAAAGGGTCTTATATTGTTATTCATTCTCATACCCAGTATATAATATGTAGAATTGTTCCACATCCATTTCAGTTTTTCTCTTGAAACATAGAACATATACAGAGAAGAGAACCAGCAGCCACTCATTAAAATCCAGAAGGTACTTAGCTAAAAGAAGGGGGGGGGGGGAAGAACAATGACATTTGATTATGGTGCATGTCCATACAGATATACAAAAGTGGAGTTAGTGAAACCACCCAAATCAAGCTGAAACAAGTTTAGAGAAGAGAAGAGCTCACTATTAGACAAACCTAATGATAATCTCATTTTGGAATTTAAAAGTCAAAAGGTTCTTTTAGCAAAAGCCAAACATACCTCTTGTCTCAGGGGTACATAGTTTCACCACAATTAGCACAAACATTGAATGTTAAGGTTAGAAAGACTACATCACCATGGGAACAGCACATGCCTTTCCTCTGAGGAACATCTAATGGCCACTGAGGAAGATTTTCTACAGGTACAAATACAATCTAAGGATGGGAAGTTCTTACATTTCTGCCTGATAAAAACTTAGCAGAGCCACAAAAAGCAATTAAAATATGACCCAGGGCCTAAATTTACACGGAGCAAAACCAAGCAAAACATTGAACGAGCGTTGTATTTTTAATACAGCATTTTAAGGACTGATATTTCTTGGTATATCACTAGGAAACTGAAATTTGTGTTTTCCTGACATGGAAAGTAAAGTCAGCTCTTCTGTTTTATGGTCAAAGATGAAAGAGTTATTGGATTAGCTATATCAAGAACTGATGGGTTATATTTCAGTGATTCGTTCCTTCTACTGCAGCTCCCTATGTCTTCGGAAAACCCGCTTTGAAGGGTCAAGGGACCTCTAGAATAACGGGAAGAAGTAGCATCAGGGATCTCCTGAGGAAAGGAGGATGCCTGAAGATCAATTATCTTCTTCTACCAATACAATTTAAATTGAATTCTACTCCAGGACTACTTCCAGTAGAGAAAAAGAATCTGGATTCAACTGTTGTCTTGAATAAATGTGCTTTGTTTATACAAAGAATATCAAAATGCTTTGCCCACCCTGTTACCTATCTTACGATTTTGAGTCTTCCACCCATAATGAAATCTTGTCCAAAAAGAAATGACTAGTTGACTGTGTCTCTATAGAAAACATTGAATTCAAAACTATTTACCCCAAATTGCAGTAATGTTAAGGGTTTATTCTGCTTTACCAGTTAGGGATCATGCTACTAGCTGACTGCTGAAATATTTATTCCATGGTTAAACCACTTCAGTAACCTTTGATTCGCCCACAAAACTAAAAGCTCAGTTAACATTGGGGAAGCATCACATACTTGCTGTCTTACTTTATATTAAAAGTCATAAACCTACCTTGGGAATAAACCTTTTAAGCATGAAAACGAGAAAGACTAGAGGTATGAAAATGCCAAATGCTATCCCAGCAGAATAATAGAAGATATTACTTCTGTTTGGGAGAAACACATGAATGCTAGTAAATCTTTTGCAAAGGAAAACAGGTTCAAGAAAGTAGAAAAGCAAAGATATATAGCTTTATTTAAATTCTACAGATCACTTCACTTACTTACACAGCTCTGCATCTTGCAATTAACATCGCATGAGAATTCCTTGCTTCATATTGCCTGGATTCACAAGCTGCGTTAAGCTATAATGTGGTTGGTTTCAGTTTTAGATTATCTTACTGTGCAAAGTCCTTCCGGTTTGTATATCATGATTCAGAGCTTAATATGAGGGGTGAATTCAATCATGGTTTGCTAAATACATTATGGCTAAGCCAACTAAATACATCATGGCTAAGCACCTAGTTATTCAGTGGTAGGATGGGCAACCAATAAACTTCAAATAAACAAACAAACAAATAAATAAATTACTGCCAACTTCCATCCAACTCTTTTATAAAGCTTTCTACAGGTGACCTCATTTATTGTATAGAGGTTGTATATGCAACTCCTTTCTATAGAGAGTGTACTGGAGGCCATGCAATTTTTCCCCCCCTGTGGCTAGATTTCTGGGCAGATCCAGAGAATATCCACTCCATCAGCCCTTGTTTGCGACAATCGATGTCAGAGAGTTAAAGGCCATGAGATTCATGGCAGAAGAGAGCATCTAAGATCAGATCTCCTTCTGAAAGCATTTGTTTCTCTTCCCATTCAGAGAAGAGTCCAAAACTTCTACTGCTTTGATACTACATTCCGGAGAACACAGCATTGCAATTTTGTAACGCAATCCTATGTATGCTCACTCAGCCCCAGTAAAGTCACTTGATTTATTCCATGACATGTACCTTATTTATTCCACCAATTTACTGATCACTGATTTAGACAATATTGTACGTCTAAATCAGTGTTTCTCAACCTTGACAATTTTAAGGCATGTGGACTTCAACTCCCAGAATTCCACAGCCAGCATTGCTGGCTGTGGAATACTGGGAGTTGAAGTCCACATGCCTTAAAATTGTCAAGGTTGAGAAACACTGGTCTAAATAAACACACTCTTTAAAAATTGGAAGGAAAGAACTGCAGCCCTACCCATGGTAACTTGTCTCAGGTCTTGCTGAAATCAATGCAATTTCTTAGGTTTGCAGACTTGCAGCACATTTTTATTTTCAAAATTAGCAAGTTCATGTAACTGACAGATTCCAGTAAAGCTAACACGTACCTGCTCAGGTTATAGGCAAAATGAAAAAGAAGTCCACCGGCAACAAATAACAGAACGAGTTTGCTATCCAACACTGGAACAAAAGAAAAGATGGGAAATCCAAACCTGTTTCACTTATGTACTGAAAATGCACACTTCTAACAATACAAAAGTATTTTTTATACATGGGTTTCTCTTAATATTACTCACTCTTTTGTTGTACTCTCACAGTGTAGAGTATTTTATTTGTTGGTTCGATCCTGAAACATGTTTTCCCAACATACTGGTCCACTGTTATGAGCGTTTGATTAGACACACTAGGCTGCCAAATGTTGCTAATCAGGCACTTCAAAAAGTCGAGCAAATGTTCGGAATTTTGGCAGTCACGCTCATCTGGGATATACACCACTTGAAATAATCCAGTGCTGTTTGTGAACACCTAAAAAAATATAATAATTTTTATTTATATATTCAAAACCTAAAATGAATTGTGAAATAAGGAACAATGGGATTTCTTACTACCATTAAAGTTTGTCTATGTTTACATACTTTCAGTCAGAAATCCTGAGACACCCTACCACAGCCATTCGCGCAAGTAGGTGAACAAGTAGAAATACACAACTGAGTCCAAAATTTCCACTGCTAAGCAAAGCAGTTGTTAAGTGAGTTGCGCCTCATTTTATGACCTTTGTTCCACAGTTGTTAAGCAAATCACTGCCCTTGTTAAGTGAATAATGCAGTGACTAAGCAAATCTGGCTTTCCCCCATTGGCTTTGCTTGTTGGAAGCCAGCTGGGAAGGTTACAAATGGTGATCATGTGACCCCAGGACACTGCAACCGTCATACATGCCAGTTGTCAAGCACCCTAATTCTGATCATGTGATCATGGAGATGCTGCAACAGTCATGTGAAAACTGGTCATAAGTCACTTTTTTCAGTTACTATCAAATGATCACTCAACGAATGGTTGTAAGATGAGTACTATCTGCAAATAACTGATTGCATTTGAACTTGGATCTGTTGCTCCAAACCCAAGCAGAGCTTGCAAGCCATTAATAATTCCTGGCTTGACATCTTGCATTGATTGTAAGCTACGAACTAAAAACTCAGGTTCCACAAATGATTTATTCTGGTTTATTTACTCAATCATACAAGTGGAGGAAAAAGCAAGAGGCAAATATTGATGTTTGTCTAAAAAATCCCAAGATTGCTCTCCCCAAAATAACTTTACACATAGTACTGGGGCTCTACACGTAGATGCTATATACCAGGGCTTTTCAACCAGTGGTACGGGTACCACCTGTGGTACATTGGCACCTAGCAGGTGGTACCCGACCATCCTAGAACAGTGGTAGCAGAGGAGGGGAATGAGCTGAACCGGTGGCAGCACCGCATAAGCCTGAGCTGGAGCTGCAGGGCTGTCAGGGCTCAGTGGAAGCGCCAGGATCAGTGCTGCTTTCCAGGTGATTGGCACTTCTTTGGGGCTGTCAGGGCTCAGCGGAAGCGCCAGGATCAGCGCCAGGCTCCAGCTGTAGCTCGGCGCTGATCCTGGCGCTTCTGCTGAGCCCTGAAGAAGCGCCAATCAGCTGGAATGTTGCAGCATCTCCAGGGTCTTGTGATTTACATTCAGATGCTTGGCAACTGACTCATATTTATGACATTCACAGTGTCCCAGGGTCATGTGAAGTGACCAAAACCTGCTGCAACCACCCAGCAGGCAGAGGGAATAAAAACCAAACACCTCCATGGGCTCAAAATATAGGAGATACAATACCTATGGATACTTGGGAGTTAATCTGGGTGAGAAATGTGAAGTTTACACAAGCTCAAAATTTACGTGAGAATTTTTATAAAATGTTTTATAGATGGCACTTGGATCCTTCAACTATGTCTCGTATTTACGCGAATTATGAATCCAAGTGTTGGAGGTGTGGACATCCAGATGCAACTTTTTTTCATATGTGGTGGACTTGTAAGGTTATTAAGGCTTTTTGGATACAATNTGGTAGAATATAACTTAGGTTTTTAGATTTTCTCTTATTTTGTTTATTCTTTCTATCCTTTTTGTAGATTAAGATATTTTGTGGAGTTAGGGATATTAGTATTTGTTTACTCATATATGAATATTATCCTGGGATTAGGTTTGGGAAGTCTGGGGGGGGGATGGGGGGTATTTACTTGTTATTGTGTTTATTATGCTTTGAATTGCTTTGTTATGATGGAAAATAATAAAAAAAAATTTGGAAAAAAAAACAAAAAAAACCAAACACCTCCCCACCCCACCCTCGCTGCCAATCCTCAACAGAAGTGCTCACAACAATTAAAACCTCAGACAGGAGGAAGAGTGCGGGTGGGCGGGCATGCAGGTGTCTTGCTCAGCTGTGGCTTGGGGGGCACTTTTTTCAGTGCCATTGTAACTTAGAACAGTCACTAAGCGAACTGTTGTAAGTCAAGGACTACCTGTACTTTATCACTTTTTCCCTTTTGGGGGGGTCATCAAGTTTTTAACACCTTGCTAGGCGACTGGTGGTACTCGGATGTTGCCATATCCTAAAAGTGGTACAATGGGTGAAAAGGTTGAAAAGCCCTGCTATATACTGTAGACCACATGATTTATTTAGAGCAGGGGTGTTAAACTGCCGGCACGTGGGCTGGATGATTCACGTGGAAGCCACACCCACCCCAGCTCTGGTAAGGGGGAAAAAGTCATGATGCATCGCGACACGTCACATGACGCAGGGAGTTTGACACCCCTGATTTAGAACAAGGGTGAATGTAGCTCTCTAGATGTTGGTAAACTGCAACATGTAAAATTCTAAGTAGCATCAATATTACCAAGAGCTAATGGAATTGAAAGATCTGGAAGGCTGTACATTACTCATTCTTGATTTAGGAGAAATAGTTTCCATTTTCATTGACAACAGAAAGTAGGCAACCTGATGGCAAAGATTCATGGAATTATAGTCCCAAAACCTGAGTGGCCACAGACTGCTTACTCCTAAGGACTAGCAGAGGTGAACATAAAACAAAAATCTCCACTTAGCAGATATTCTTGCAATTTTCCAATGTTTGTCCAAAAGATTTAATACAGAAAGCCCTCTAATGATTTCCCAATGGGCACAAATAGGCTTTAGACTGAATTATCAGTCATTCTATTATTTTGACAGAACTGTGGAAACTTGTCCTCTAGGTGGCTCAATTAGGGATCCTTAAGAGAGAAGATCACCACAGATGGGGACTGCAGCTAAGAAATTAAAAGACGCTTGCTCCTGGGGAGGAAAGCTATGGCAAATCTAGACAGCATACTAAAAAGCAGAGATATCACCCTGCCAACAAAAGTACGTATAGTCAAGGCCATGGTTTTCCCAGTTGCAATGTATGGCTGTGAAAGTTGGACCATAAGAAAGTCTGAGCGCAAAAGAATTGAGGCCTTTGAACTATGGTGCTGGAGAAGACTCCTGCGAGTCCCCTGGACTGCAAGGCGATCAAACTGGTCAGCCCTAGAGGAGATCAACCCTAACTGCTCTTTAGAAGGCCAGATCCTGAAGTTGAAACTCAAGTATTTTGACCACCTAATGAAAAGGAAGGACTCACTGGAGAAGAGCCTAATGCTGGGAAAGATTGAGGGCAATAGAAGGGGACGACAGAGAATGAGGTGGCTGGATGGAGTCACTGAAGCAGTAGGCGTGAGCCTAAATGGACTCCAGAAGATGGTAGAGGACAGGAAGGCCTAGAGGAACGTTGTCCATGGGGTCGCGATGGGTCGGACACGACTTCGCAACTAACAACAACAAAGAGAGAATTGTTTGGAGAACACCTGGCAACCTAACTGAATACAAAATAAATAGAGGCCTTTATTATACAATGCACTCCTATGCAAATTTACTCTAATGCAAATCTTTGTGTTCAAATGAGATTTTAGAGGAGCTTAAATGATGCCTAAATTTCCACTGGAAGCTTATAGATTCTATAAGCTTTAACTCTGTTTCTCCCAAAATCATGGATTAGAGGTGTTAGAAACATTCTTTATTTTATTTTATTTATTTATCTATATTATTTATTAAATTTTTGTGCCACCCATCTCCCCTATAAAGTGACTCTGGCAGCTTACAAATTATTTTGTTGCTGAGATACTGAGATAATTATTTCAGTATACACAAAGTCTATTCTGTGGGTATTTTATTGGATTTGGGCAGCACAAAGACCTTATTTATTTGTTTGCAAAGGAGGCCACACCAAAGAGGAGTCTAAGAAATTCCACAAAAGCTTTGACAGCCAATAGAAATGAAGACACGACATCTGGAGAGATGTCTTGTTTCTCCAGAGTTTTCCTATACAACATTCCATTTGACATTTTTTTAATATTGCCAAATCTTCAATAACATTCTTCATTGTATTTTTTTTCTGCCAAGAAAAAAACCTAGCCACTTAATTTATGAATTCATCAACAGCATGACTTTACCTGAATACTTGACCAAGTATTTTGTAAGTACATTGTTCCATTTGGAATGTAGCAGAAACAAGCTGATTCCATACTATGCATTATATTCATTATCTTCAACTGTTTACAGCTAGTACTATCTATACAAAAAGAAAAAGGTCAATCACAGCATCATGAAATACTGTATATGCAAGTCATTTAGACATTTTTTTCCAAGAATTATAATTGTCACAAACCAAATCAAGCTGCCACATTGAAGTATGCCCGCCTTCTATGATTTGCTGGATTTGGTTTATCAGTCCTGCAATCCATCACTGCGGTCCTAAATTCTTCCTATGAAATGCACATCCACATATATTTGGGGCCACTGTTGTCCCATCTGCAACATAACTTGGCTGCATAACTTTCTTGTTATGCTACTCTAAGCCAGTGTTTCTCAATCTCGACAGCGTTAGAAGTCTGGACTTCAACTCTCCCAATTCCCCAGCCAGCATGATATGTGTGCACTTAAGCCAGCTTAAGTTGGAGAGTTGAAGTCCACACATCTTAAAAATTGCCAGGGTTGAGAAACACTGCTCTATGCAATCCGAACCAGAGATTTCATATATTAATTTGCAAAGTTGTGAACAAGTACAGGTAGTTCTTGACTTACAACCACAATTGAACTCAACATTTCTGTTGCTTAAGTGAGACAGCTGTTAAGTGAATTTTGCCCCATTTACGACCTTTCTTGCCACAATTGTTAAGTGAATCACTGCTGTTGTTAAGTTAGTAACACGGTTGTTAAGTGAATCTGGCTCCCCCACTGACTTTGCTTGACAGATGGTGGCAAAAGATGATCGCATGACCCCTCGGGACACGGCAACTGTCATAAATACGAACCAGCTGCCAAGGATCTGAATTTTGATCAGACTACCATAAGGATGCTGCAATGGTGGCAAGTGTTGAAAACATCCATAAGTCACTTTTTTTCAGTGCCGTTGTAACTTCGAACGGCCACTAAATGTACCTTTGTGAGTCGAGGACTACCTGTACGTGCAGTCCTCCTAGCTAGCTACAGGGGTAGGCAACCTTGGCTGTTATGACTGGGGGACTTCAACTCCCAGAATTCCTGAGCCAGCATAGCTGTCTCAGGAATTCTGGGAGTTGAAGTCCACGAGTCATAAAAGAGCCAAGGTTGCCTACCCCTGTCCTAGCACATCTTTTGCCTTCCAAACAGCCAAGTTGACAAGCCCAGCATCTTAACCACTAGGCCGCTGTGCCTCTTTTATAGAGTATACAGCCAGGTACAATTTCAATATCTTTAAAAAGTTGGCCCGCCAACCTCTGTTAGAGAGCTGGTGTTGTATAATGGTTAAAACGTTGGACCTGGACTGAAAACACTCAGATTCAAGTTCCCCACTGACTACAACATTTGGTTTTACACCACCCCTTTTTCTCCCAGGCAACCTCCCTAACAGGGTTGATTGTATGGTAGAATTTGGGGAGATTCCGCCCCCTCCCCAATACCATGCAAGCTTCCTTGAGCTGCCTATAAAAAGAGAGTACATAAATGCAATTCAGTGCAATGCTACGCTGCTAGGCGCTGCCATCTGAAGCGCCACAGAACCGAAAGGCGAGCGGGTGGGTGGGTGGGTAAGCTGACGCCGTCCAAAGGTTTCGGGGAAAGAGTGGCAAGGGTCTTATTAGGGGCAGAAATCCGAATGAACAGACGACCGGCCGCTTGCCTTTGCAGCAGGGATCCCCAACCCCCCCCCCCCCCGGCCCGTGGACCGGCACCGGTCCGTGTCATGCCAGCAACAGGGCAATGGGATGAAGGCAGCACACAAATGCACACCTTTCTCCGCAGTGCCCAAAAGGCTGGGGGCCACTGCTTCGCCGTTGTTTCTAATGGCAATCGCTGGCTAGCAAGCTGATTTCAGATGGCAGCTTCCAGCCAAGTTACCTGCTGACGAAGGCGGGGCTTCGTCAGCCCTCTCGGCCTGGATTAGCCCCGTGGCGAGCAGCTGCCCCAGGAGCAATGCAAGAGGCTGTCTCCGGACTTGCGAAAACAGCCGGCAGGCCGAGGAACCGCCGCACTGAGACATTTTGTTTCCGCCCGCAACTGTTTGAACAAAGCTCCTGCCTCCGAGGAGGAAGGCGCGGGAATCGAGCTTCGATACACGCTTACGAAGAAGCCTGGGCGGCCAAAACCGGCAAACGGGATCGACTAGTTGAGGCTGGAGGAGGAGGAAGAGAAAATGCCAAATGAGTCTGCCTTCAGTTCTGAATTTAAAAAAATCATAAGCTTAAGTATTTAAAGAAGTCTTTGGAATGAAAAAAAAAACCCACCCCTGAACAGAGGTAAAATCCTATGAGATAGCTACATGAATAAAGATCAAGATGGCTAGGAGCAAAAGGAAGGAGTACAAAGTTGATTTTTTGGACCAAGGTTAAGCTAAGACATGTGTTTTTTTTTTAAATTCTAGGAACCATTTATGGACTTCTTGCTGGCATCCAGACTGAAATGTTTATGGATTTGCATATGACTAAGGGAAGAAGAGATACTAAGTAAGGAAGAAAGACTTTACAAAGTGTGTTTGTATTTTTTGTGACAAAGATTGGAAGTCACTTCTTTTTATCTTTTTCTTACTTTTTTCTTGCACTTTC